GTTAGTTACGGTTCCGGTCCTTTACGTTTAGTTAGTTTACTTTTACGTACTAAATAAAATAAAATTTAACTTTTAACTACGTACAAGTAGATGTACGTAGTTGACCACACACACACACACACACACACACACACACATGTGATAATGTATCAAAGAATATCGGTGTCATCTTGTTCTGGGATGTTGTGACAACAAACACACACTGCTTGAGCATCAATTGGAATGAAACATTAGGTTTTTTTATCAATTTAATGTGTGTGTGAATCATTTTCTGTAGATATGATTCAACTTACATTTTGCTTTCGGCTCAATAAACACTAAATGTGGAAGGAGCAAATAACTAAGTAAAGACTCTTAATCCTTTAAATGAACTAAAACACGCAGTTGGTGAAGGAAGCAGCAAATCTATACTCTATGTACTTCTATTTTTTTGCATTAGGCTATTATTATTTATACCCTTTTAGCACACTCCTGCAGCAAAGTAAGATCAGCTGGTTAGTTTTGCAACAGTGACAGTGGATGAAATATTGAAAAAAATGTTTTCTGATCAAAAGCCATAGTTTTTCGGGGTCAATAATTTATAAACACCTTTTTAGTTTTAAGTTCTACTTTGTTCACTTAATGGTTTAATTTTTATTTTGGCCATTTTACTTTTCATCATCTTAAAAACACTGGTAGAGGTATGTTATTTTTTATTAATTTTTAACTGTTGTTGAACTGATACATTACATTCTGGCACTTTTTTTTATTACTATAGCAATGATTACATTGAGATGCTCTTCTATTAAAAACTAGTTATAATACTCAGTGCTATGTATTTAGAATTGTGGTAAATGGTAAGGAAATTTTAGCATTTCTCTTTGGTAATATGTTCTCTTTTTCTTTTTTCTTGGACAGAAAGTCAAAATATTCCAATACAGTCACAACCTACATGAACTTGATTCAGAGTTGTCGAACATACTAAAATGACATTTTATAATTACTTTATTTGCATATGCAAGAATATTTTTTGTACGCAACAGCACCTTCTCTTGATAAATATATATATATATATATGTCTATCATTTTGTTTCTATATATTTCAAAGAGATACTATTTCAATACTAACTGTTGTATCGATTTGTGGCTGCTAACTTTGCCAGTCCTTATTTCATTTCTTTTTATCTCAACATGTAGCAAAACATCTAAATTATACAATGATCATTCTTCCCTAAATGTTCCCTCATTTTAACTCTTGCAATCATATCCTCATTAGTGGTTAATGATAAATCTAAAATGGAATCCCCTCTGGTCATTTGGTAGAGAAAACTATGCTGAATCATTTCAAGAAATCTCTCTCCCTTACTACCCAATTCCATAAAATTATAATCAGTGTGTTTTAAATTAAAGTCTCGTATAATTACTAAATCAATATTGTTAAGGGTAACAACCCAAATCTCATAATGCAGTTTCTCATTGACATCATCTGTCTGATCAATTGGCATATAACAAGTGCCAATTAAAATTTTCTGTCCTTAAAACTCCTTATTGTATTCACAATAGATTCAACCTCTTGACTACCTTTTTATATGTCTTCATCTCTAACAGGATGAAGCTGAAAGGAGCCATTCCTTCCCCTGTTTTAAAAAGCTTACCACCAATAAGTAATGTATAACCTGAAATTTCAAAATAATTCCTGTTATTAATGTTCTCCAAATTTTATTAATTGCCATTATATGATAGTCTTCCATTTCAGCTGGAGCCCAATTATCACATTTGTCCAACTTACCAAATGATCCAAGTCATTCTGTTGTGCCTCAACATCAACAGTAGAACTAGAAATCCCCAAGAATTTAATCTACAAGTTAATTTGCAGCTCAGTATATTTTATTTGCTTTCTAGACATCTAACAAAAAAAGACAGATAAAATAACTATAATTATAACTAAAAATAACTATAAACTACTACCCACCAAATCAAGAGTTCTTAATCTGCCAGTCCTTCTAGTTGATTTCCGAAGTACCACAAATATTACTCCAGTACATGATTGTTATAAGTCGTACTATGTATTCTGGTAGAGTACTACTGTAGCAATTTACCATAACTGATTTTTCCAGGATCTGTTAGAAATCTGTGGCACTATGTTTTGCTGGTAGAACACCATTGTACCAGTACCACAAATGATTATTTTTAATACAGAGACATTTAGCAATTTGTATACTTATAGAGTACCATTGTGCAGCAAGTGATTATTTAAATACATAGATGTAGCAATTTGTATGCTTATAAAATACCATTGTGCTTTAAGTAATTATTTCCAATACAGATGCATGTAGCAATTTGTATGCTTATAGATTAGCATTATGCCATAAGTGATTATTTGCAATACAGAGTAATGTAGCAATTTCTTTGCTGATAGAGTACCATTGTGTTGTAAGTTATTATTTCAATTCAGCTGCATACGACAGTTTGTATGCTTATAGGGTACTGTTGCACTGTAATTGATTATTTCCAGTACAGAGGTATGTAGCAATTTATATGCTTGTAGAGTTCTGTTGCACTGTAATTGATTATTTCCAGTACAGAGGTATGTAGCAATTTGTATGCTTTTAGAATGCCATTGTGCTATAAGAGAATATTTCTAGTACAGAGACACGAAACAGTTTGTATGCTTATAGAGTACCATTGTGCTGTAAGTGGTTATTTCCAATACAGAGGCATGTAGCAGTTTGTATGCTTATAAAATATCATTGTGCCATGAGTATTTCCAATACAGAGGTATGTAGCAGTTTGTATTCTTATAGAGCACCATTGTGCAATAACTGATTATTCCAATACAGAGTCTTATAGCAATTTGTATACTTACAGAATACCATTGTGCTGTAAGTGATTATTTCAGGATCTCACATCCTTTATATTCTTAGCTTTGAATTTTTTTTGTCTTCATTTTTGATTAGTGAATGTTTTATTTTAAGAAGAGCAATGATTTGCTCCCTTTTCTCTGAAATCTTCAGTGTGAGAGTGTTCTGGTTGTAAGAGAAACTGAAAAAAAAAAATTTTATTTCAGAAAAAGAAACACACGACTGTTTTAATAGCTATAAATTCTACTTCGTCCAATCCTTTCATTACAGAAATTTAAATTTAATGGTAGTTTCACCATTATTAAGTTATTAATAACCCTATATGAGTTTTGAACAATGCAAGAAAATCAATCAGATATTGAGTAACTATATTGTTTGAAGTTTACAACTTAAGATTTTAAGAATCAGAAAGATACTGAGCTATAAACTGGATGGAAATAAATGAAGTTAATACATATATATATATATATATATTGCTAAACATGCATAACGTTTAATGCATGTGAAAAAATCGTTCATCTGAATCTCATGTTTTTGGAATATCGTGACTAAGTGTTTAGATTGTTAAATATATAGAGCTTTAGAATTATTTTTGGATTTTAGAAAGAAAACCATTCTTTAATAAATTTTAAAACTGTTACTGCATTTACACTGTGGGTTTATGTTATCAATATGGCCTAGCTAGTTAGTATGTTTTTAATAGTCCCATACTTTGTTTTGTCATATACTGTTTGTAACAGGTATTTTGTGAATGTGATTTCTTCCTGTTTTTTCTGTAGTATCTGTTAGAGACTAAGAGTTTAATACTTCCTCCTGAACACATATTGAAAAGAGGGGACAGTGAAGCAATAGCTTATGCATTTTTTCATCTACCACATTGGAAGAGAGTAGAAGGAGCTCTTAACCTCCTGCACTGCACTTGGGAAGGAAGTAAGTAAGGTTTTTGAATGAATTTTTTATTGTATTCCTTTGTGAAACTGGCCATTCTAAGACTTTTAATACTTCCTTTTGTTTAGAATTGGTGTACTTGCATTAACATTCATCAGTTTTACCAACTGTGGACAGCAAGAGAATCACTTTACACATTTCTCAACACTTTGTGAAATTTTGCATATCTAATACATATTAGCATTTTTCTGTTAGTGTACTAACTTTTCAGTTGGCACTATTCATGGTAGTACATTATAACAACTAATACAACTACTAAAATTTAATCTGAGCTCTAAGGGTGTCATTAACCCTTTTGTATTCCCAGGAACCCCTAAAAACTGGAAAAAATATATAAAACATTTATATTTAATTGATTTACTGTGTATTTTATTGAAGAAAGGTCCTATAAACCCAATATCACTGGATTCAGTGTGAAAATATACCCATAGTGTCCATGGGAATAGAAATAGCAGGCACATCCAGTATGCCCCTATTACAAGCAGTGGATTAATGATTCTAGTGTCTTTTAGTACCATATTTAATTACACTAGAGGATTTTAGCTATTATCTCTGAAACTGTGCATAAGTATATTAACAATAAAGGCAAGAATAAGTTTGTGAAATAAGAATAGATACTGTTGTTTGAAAATGGTGTGAAATTTAACAGGGACGCATTTTGTTTTCTTTAGCATTTCGAATGATTCCTTACCCATTGGAGAAGGGCCACCTTTTCTACCCTTATCCAACTTGTACAGAAACTATAGACAGAGAACTCCTGCCAGGTAAAATATTTAAATAGGGAAGTGTACAACTAATAATCTGTAGTGTTTTGAACAAAACATAATTACGACATAAAAAAAACTGGAAAAAAATCATGATTTTTGAAGGTATAAATGTTCACCCCTTTAGTTTGAAATCTAATGGTATGCCTATAATCAGAATAGAAAAATATTGTTTTGGTAGGAGTTTAAAGGTGTTGAACAACTTAATATGCTTTACAAAATATCATAGGTATATTACCAAGTTATCAGTTTAAAGCAGTAAATTGATATCTGAACATTATGTTGTCCTCATGCTTCATCTTTTGGCCTTTACGTGTTCAAAGACTATCAGCTTCAGTTGGTATGTAAACATGACAAAGTCATAGGAGAATTTTATTTTGATGAAAAAAGAGTTAGATAAAGGATCATATATAAAGTGTAATAGACTTAAAATAAGACCCAAAACTTGAGCACTTTCGAACAGATGACTATTCTTCTTGAGGAGAACAAAGGGAGGAGAATGTTAATATTGTAATAATTATAAGAATTCTTTTGTTACATTAAATTTATGTCATAAAAATGGATAATCCTTATTCACTTAAAAGTCTCATGTTTTACTGGTTTCAGTCATCATCATAAAAACAGTTAATGATGGATATTTGAATTGATAAAAGACATTAGACCTGTCATGTTCAACATATTTTATTCTACCGTTTGCCACTTTTCATGTACAGCATATTATTTTAGTCTGCTGTTTCCCACCTGTCATGTTCAACATATTGTTTTAGTCTAGTGTTTGTCACTTGTCATGCTCAATGAATCCCTTCTGTGTACAGTTTATCACTTCATATACCTGTGTTACAACATGCAAAAATGAGTTCAGCATTATTTAATTATTTTATCTTAATCCTGCATTAGTCTTTTGTAAAAAAATTTTCATGGTTACTCTTCCAGGTTCCAAAAGGACCCCATCATAAAGAAATTGATTTAAAAGTATTTAAGTAATACTAAATTATTATTTTGGAAGCAAAAAACACCAACCATCATAAAGAAATTAATTTTAAAATATTTGAATAATAATAAACTTTTATTTAGGAAACAAAAAACACCAACACTCAAAATCTTGTTCGTTATTAATCAATAAATGAACATTGAATTTTACAAATTGTTCATTTTTTACCACCTAAACTAAGTGTAACAATTTAACGCAAACTAGCCAAATATTGAAGCTACTGAAAACGACAAACATGATGTGCTTCCATCTGTCGGCACCGATGTTTACAAAATATTTGAGGTTCATGAAGACCCTGGAAGACTAATGCAAGGTTAAAAAAATATGTATTTTTAAAAAGATATGAAAGTCAAAGCACGGCACATTTTTTTTTTTTTTTTTTAAAGTACTTTAAACTTACGTTAACATTGTGAATTAGTTACAATAATACAAGTGTTTTATCCAAATATGTAATTGTTGAAGGAGTAATTTGATGTCTTATTGATTGTGATTGATAAAGAGATTTTATACTTTATATCTGTCAAACAAAGAAATGCATTTCAAACTAAACCTTATAATCCTCTACTGATTTAATTCTTGTAGTTTTTAATCTTTTTATTCTTGTGATTTTAAAGTTAATTGTTTTATGATTCTTCATTTTGTTATATTTGCAGCATTTCATGAAATTTCTGTGTATCCCAAGAAAGAGCTACCATTTTTTATCCTGTTCACAGCAGGACTTTGTTCTTTCACTGCACTTCTGGCTCTTCTTACACACCAGTATCCTGAACCCATGGGTGCACTAGCAAGAACTGTAAGTTCTGGTTTTGTTCTATTTCTGATATTTTTTTGCTTTTTAAAGTATTAATTTTGGAAAAGAAAAAATTCAGAATTTTTTGACTGTTTGAAATAAATAGATGTATTTTGTAATGTTATCTTGCACTAGCTGGAGAATCATGGATTTTTTGCTTCAAAGACAATTATTTGTGAAATATTCACTTTCCTATTAATTCTCAGCTACCCTTGATTCTAAGTGATCAATTTAAATGTGATTCTCTACAGCCTTATTAGTTACTTATAGGTCAATTTGTTATAGTAGTTGTAATTTATTAATCATCATTTCATAACTGTACAGGGTACAATGAAACCATTTATGTCACTGAACATGTAAATTAAAAAAAATAAGAGGTTTAAACAGTTAGTAATTACCAATAAACCTAAAAAAATTCAAATACTCTGAAAATATATATAGAAAAGATTTATTTGTTCAAACATAGTACGTTAATTCTGAGGTAATCAGATTTGATACCATTTGTTAAGGTAAAAAAATAAAATTTTCTTGTGATTCAGTGGCTCATTACCATAAAAAATAATTGTTGTGAAATGTATGTCCATTAAAATGTAAAAAATTCGTGAAAAGTAATGCTTACAACAGCAAATTTTATATAAATATGTGCCCCAAATATAAGTATGACATTAATTCAGAAAAGGGATATATATCGAATAAATGCTGCAAGTTGACAAAAAAAAAAAAATAAAGAAACTAGTCTTCTTAATTAATGACATCAGACTATGAAACATTGTAGGTTTATTTTTTTATTATTGAATTTAAAAGTTTTTGAAAATGTACTCTTGATTGTTTCTGATAGCTTGTTGAGGTTATATAATGTCTGAATAGAGATGTGGTTGATTTCATGATGGTTCCCTACAAGGCTCACCTGTTTTCCAACTATCAGTTTGCTTAGAAATCTCAGAACATACATTGTATCTCATTAACATGATTATTTGGTGAATGAAAGTGTGAAAAGCAAAACCTTGCCCATTTATTTTTTTATTTCCTAAATATTTCAGACAGAAATGAAGCACATTTCATATAAGTAGTGATAAACATGCTAAGAATCTATGTAGTTGATCTAGAATAATATCAGTTGTAATAAATAGCAGTTGTTTTGATAACAGCTATAATAATAAGTTGTATGTGAAACTATGTAGCTAAATTTAAGGGTTTGATAAGCAGTTTGGGATATATTGTGTTTTGTTATGTTGCAGTGTTCAGACCTAACAACCAACTATGTAACTATGTAAACTTTGAAAAGATGCAATATTATAAATTACACAGAAAACAGTTAGAAAATAAAACAGCACCAACTTCTATATCAGGGGTAGCCAATCTTTTTTTTGAGCCACGGGTCGGATTTTGATTACTGGAGTCGACCCGGGCCGCATTCAACTTTAAAATACAGTGCTGGTAAAAAAAAGTGGCCACCCTGACATCCTGACATTCAATGCTCTGATACAGCTCTCATTTGGCTGTGGTCACAAAGAATCTTATATCAATAGATAGAAAACTTTCTTGGCTTTTATATGATGTACTTTACTTTTGATATTGTGCTATTAGGTGTTCTCTAGACCAAAAACAAAAATTTCATAATTTTTTGTCAATCGAGTTATCTCTGGTGGAAAAGACGTTTGGATAATAATTTTTACATCAGTGAATAGAGAATGAAGGGACCTTTCATTTGACTCTTCGATCAGCAAAATCAGTCCACATTCGGTCAAGGAATCTTATGTTCACCCAATTCTGTCAGATTATCGAGATAGACTCATTTACGACGAGCTTGTTGCTGTCAGTTTGAATTTTAATCGTTCCTCCAGTCAGACCGCTGTCGCCGAGACGACAATGAAAGAATGGCTCAAATTGCCTCAGCCGAAGCCCGATGGAATGAAAGAGTGAGTTATCGCCTCCTCGCTACTTGCGTGAACACAACGGTGACGTCAAACGAAATTATCAAATGATGACGCACAAATCCCTCGTGCAAATTAAAAATAATGAATAGGTCACAGGGGCTGTCTAAGTATCATGTGTGGGCCATAATACAGTGAATTTTTAATGTTAGGCGGGCCGCAGAAAAAGACATTACGGGCCGGGGTTTGGCCACCCCTATTCTATAGGGATTTTCACTGTCTGGGAATTAAAGTGTTCTGTCTTATGGTGGAATATTGTCTTTTAGCCAGAAAAAATATATAATTCTTCCAATTCATGTATATCTAATGAAAAAAATATGTATGTCTATCATTTGGATCATGTTTGGTGTAGTCAATGTCTTGTATTAGATTTTAGTGGTACAATGCCTGCTGGTAGAATGGTGTTTTCTGTTGCATATATGCTTTTAATGCCATGTACTCAAAGTACCAGTCAATGCATGCAATAACAAGTGTTCAGACTGTATTGTATATGTGATCCAAGAACTGTCAAAAGCCAGTCATAGTTCTAAGTGCATGGCCAATATGGCCGATAAACGATTATTCAAGTAAACATGTAAACATATTGATCAGCTGTTGATAGGCCTAAATCTGTGAAAATGTTTTTCCTCACCAAAGCTGATGCTAAAAAAGCATCTGTTTGAGATGCCAAAATAGAAAACAAACAGTGATGGGTGTTGCAAAAAAATCAAACTTGAAGACAAAGTTGATCATTTTAACAATAATGCAATAATTTTACTGATCAAGTTGCATTTGGCAACCTGCTGACATACCTAGACACTAATGTTAACATAATTATGGTAATGATGGTGATTTTAAATTTAATATCCAGATGCAATCTCCCACACTTCAATACACCTGAGGTTCAAGTAGCCCAATTGTCCTACTAACCTATGTTGTTTAGCTTTAGGCCTAGGCTTAGAGATTTAAACTTAGTATTGTCTCTCCTGTAAGCCTAGTGTATGAGCTAGATCTAGTAAAATAATTCATTTAATTGTTTCTAATTCAATTGAATTTTTGTTTATTGTTGTTACACTTGTACAGTATATGAAGTGGACAGAATATTTGAGTACTGGAATGGATTGAAATGATGTGCTTACATACCAATTATGTCAGAAACGTTTTTGAAAGGAACTAATTGAAAATTAATTTATACATTTCAATATATGCAGCTGTTACTGATTGCATCATTTGTATTATGATGCTGGAATCATTTTAAGTACTCAATTTGAAAAAGGGAAGATATGCGTAACTTACTATCTAGAACACAAATGAATCTTACTGTACATTATGTTGATGAATTTAATAATTTTCATTCAGAATAAAATAAAGATGACATGAAATGGAGATTCATTATTGAACACAAATTATTTTTTTCAGCCAGGATATTCTTTTTTTTTTTTAAGTTTTTCTATCTATTACTCATGATCCAGTGGAATGCTAGAATTGCTCTTACGTGGAGGGCATTCATATATGTTGGTGCTTCAAGAATACATGTAGCCATTTATATATTGTTTGTTTAATCTCAAAAGTCATTAATCTGCTTAACATTTCATACTGTTTCTTTCTCCATATATCAGGAACTTCCCACAAAAGATCTTATTAATTTTGTTTTAGAGCTACTTAAAATATATATATATATATATATGTATATATATATATATATATATATATATGTATATATATATACCATGATACATTTTGCTTTCTTTCACTGCATATTGGATCCTCTGTTTACTTATCCATATTGTATGTTATAATCTATGCTACTTGGGATTTTTTAAATAAAATTGTATTTTGGATCCAATCTCATATTTTTTATGCTTTAACACAGTTTTTCCTGGTCTTAACTCTTTCACAAATGGTATTAAAAGTTTGCTGTGAACTAAAGAACAATGTAATTTTTAAACTACTTGGATTGTTTAGATGTTTTCTTGACTCTATAAAAATGATAAGTCTGTCATAATGATTTTATAAAGCTTTCTGAGGTTTAATTTCTCAAATGAAACTATAAATTCAACCAGCGAGGACTTAAATAATGTGTAACTATCACAATATGCAGATATAGAAGTGAAAACTTACTACCTGTTTGATTTCTGCAAGTTTTAGTACACTTACAGCAGCATTTTACACGTTGTTGATATAACTTTATCATGTACTGATTTGACATAAAATTTGAAAGCAAACATAAAAATACTGGTGGATATTTTTGGAATTGAAATGTGACATAAAGCTTGCATTTTTACCTTCATTTTCTGTTTAGGGGTACGTGTTAGATAACTATTAGTTACATACATGAGTACGTTCAGATTTGGTGTCAGACTTCCAAATTGATGTAAATAATTATGATTAGGTAAAATATGGCATAACTGGGTTGAGAAAAACATGTAGTTTACTAATTAAGAAATTAGTAAGAAAAGGTTATTTTCATAAAGGAAATTTCATATTTCTACAATATTCACTGCAACTAAAGTTGTTGCTATTTTGAAGTTCAAGATATATTGAGTTCAAATAAGAAATAGAGAGATTCCTGTGATTCAGTCTTTTATTACCTAAATACGGTACTTTTCAGAAATAAGTAGCCACCACCTTAAATTTATGCAAATCAGTGGAATCTGTAGGTGTAAGTTTTTGCTCTTCAACCAGTAGTATTATCAAAGATCTAATTTTCTTAGGGTGGTACTGGTGTAGTCAAAACAGTGTTTTTGAGCAAATAGCAGAACTTGGAGCACTTATTAATTTTGAATGTCCACATTTTATACAGTTGAAAGTTTTAAACTTAAAAGTATTTTTCTATTTTAGACATTTTTATAAATATGTAGTTATAAAAAGTTTACTATTCTGTGTTGAGCTAATTGTAACACAATTGGGTAAAATTTTTCACCAGAAATGGTGTTTTAAGCAATAATTATGCTCTCCAAGCTACCATGACTCCCATCCCATCAAATAAGTAAGTGTTGGTTCATTCCTGATCTACATACCAAAGTGATGATGAAGTTTTGTTATCATGTTTTCTAATCCTAATTAATATTTATCCAGAAATAAACATTGAATCCTAGGATTAAAAATATTGGAATACTTGTTCTGTACAAGTGAGTCTTAACCACACATTATTATTGAAAGTCTTAATTTTAACTGTTAATGGTCAGAAGTAGTCTTAGTAACTTAGTTTTAAACCACAATGATGTTAAAAATGTTTAATATAGATAAATACTATCATAGATATGTTTATATAAATATATTTTTTTTGTTTTCTTACAGGTGATTAGCTGGTTGGCTCTTCCTTTAAGTTATGTTGTTGACAAGGTTGAGGCACTTCTTCCCTCAAGTCTTCTTCAACAGCTTTCTCGAATCTGATATCAAGTACACTTTTACCAGAGCCTCACAGACTGTCATGTTGCATTTCTTCAGATTTCTTCTCAGTTTGATATTTGCCATAGTGTAGATATCAGTAATGATTGGATGCTGTTTTTTGTTTTGTTAGATGGATTTTTACCATCAAAATCCTGTTAAATAAACTCAATACTCTATGTTTAAAAACAATGGTATTCAAATAACTGCTGTTTACAACCATTTTAGTCAAGTGTTCATTATTATGGATACCAGTAAAATTCAAATATTCCAAAGCATTAAAATTGAATGTCAGTTTGTGCTTTTTCTCTACTAGATCGCTGGTTGACTGAAACTGTCATTGAATAACACAGATTGCAAAACTACTGTTTTATAGATATGTATGGCACACTCAACAAAATAATTTTTCATATGACTTTCCAATATCATTTAACAACCCTAAACATCCAACCACTGTATGTAATATACGATGAGGTTTCATCATGCATAGCTAATAATAAGATAGAAACATATAGTTCTTCTTCTTAGATTATTATAGTTTATACCTTTTATGTTTCTAAGTGACTATTGTTTTTCTTAAGTTTCTTATGTAGTAACAGTTAAATACACTTTACAATAACTATTTTACAGGCATGCAAAATTCTTTTTATTTTAAAATAATAGTATACAAAAGACAATCTAACTAGAAAACTGAAAATCACTGTATTTCCCATAAATCTATAAATAAATGATTCATCCTTCTTGTAATCAGTGTATACTTAGCTGTGTATTTAAAGTTCTGTGACAGTGGAGTTTACTTGTGAAATAAAACTTTTACTATATGTATGTAATCTACGATAAGGTTTCATCGTGCATAGCTAATAATAAGATAGAAACATATAGTTCTTCTTCTTAGATTATTATAGCTATACATTTTATGTTTCTAATGACTATTGTTTTTTCTTAAGTTAGTAAAGCATGATCCATACTTTGATAAAACATGACAGTTATGATAAAGGTTTGTAGCAAACAATGAGTAATAGCATTTCAGTTACACATTATCCATTATATACCTCTGCCTATAGAATCTGTCACTCAATATGTGACTTAGCTTATCAGGCAGGTTAGATTTCAACATCCAAAATCTGTGATAGTTTAAACGTTACTTAAACATGTATCATTTATTTAAGAGACATAATTTTGTATGATATATTACATAATTCTACACTTTTCTTTTTTTGCTTTTACTAGGCTGTATTTGAATAATACTGTTTGTAATTTCTCCAAAAATTAAAGCACCAGCATCATTTTCTGGTGTGACGACAAATATATAGGTATGTTTTTTGTTTGTTTTTTTACTTCATTTGTGACAAGTTTAAGAACCGTTGTCGTTGTCGAAGATAATTCACTTCTAGATTCATTTTACAGTTGTTTTTGTAATCACAAATACAACAATGAAAGACAAGTAGTTGCATATTGGGTTTACTTACTGTTAACAAGTTACGGCTTTTACAGTAAGGAAGAATATTTTTCCTTAGTGTCAAAGCTGTAACTTGTAATAAAATAATAACAGAGAAAGATAATTTGTGAAATAAAGTACTTTAATGACAAAACCATAATTACTTCTGAAGTGCAAAAGCTTCTTGTACTAATGTTACATAACATGAAAAAACAGAAAACCAGTGTTGTTGTTTTACTTCTATAATTATATTACTCACTATGGATGTGTTTATAAATGTTCATTGTTTGGTTCTGCTGATTTAATCGAAAAATACTACTTCACTCCAACAGTTTCGGTAACTGCTTTTATACCATACAAGTCATGGTCATAAAGGGTAATGAAAGCAGTTAAGCTCAATTGGATATCCTTTCCAAACAACAGCAACTAATTAAAAGGTAATACCTATGAAATGTGCTCACCGATACTGGAACCTTTCTTACTTCTTCACGATGGTAAATTTTTGAATATTATTATCAGAAATGTTATAGTTAATATAACTGATAGGTGTCTGTTATTTGTGACAAAAATTATTTTAATATTGGTAAATGTAGAGGCTTTTAATAACTAGTGGCTAATGTGCTCGGACTGTGGATTCATTGTTTGGGAACCATTACTATAAAATACGTTCTGCACTTTGAGGCCGAAGGTGCACTAAAAGTGTGACAATCAAATCCCACTAATTGATAGACAAGAATTCCTAGTACACGTAGATGTTGCTAACTAGCTGCCTTCATATAGTCTATAAATTTCAAGTTAGAGATGACAAGCACAGTTAGGCCTTGTGTAGCTTTGTGAAAGACCCTTTCCGGTGGCTCACTGGTAAGTCTTACAGCTTATAATGCTAATAATAGGGTTTTTATACCCGTGGTTGGTAGAGAACAGATATCCTATTATGTAGTTTTGTGCTTAGTAACAAAAACAAACAAAATCTTTGCGCGAATATCTGATAAATATTTTAACTTGAGAATTTAATTTTATGCATTTTAAAAAATAAGTGTGTTGTTTCTGCTTGGGTTACTTCCATTTTTTTATTACATTAAGAGAATGAACTTGATACTTTTTTACTTTTACTCTTCCCTCATTTTTCTGATGTTTTAAAGAAAACTTAAAAAATAAGATACTGAACCCCAAAATCTCTTCCAAGGCTTGCGAGTCTACCTTGAACCATATCCTCAATTGGTTTAGAAGTTGGTTAGTTACAAGCCTAAATCACCCAACTACAGAAGCCAAACCCAAATAAATTTACTTAGGTCTTTATACTTACTCATTATCTCAGTCTTTCCCGTCTCAATAGGATGAAACTAATGCTAATAAAACCAATATAGATTACTCATAAAATCTTAGACCTATTGTTAGCGTGCTGGACTATGTATCTGTAATTTTGCATTGAACTTCTTAAATCAATAGATTCTGAATTACACCAACTCTAAGTATTTGATTGCCTAAATGTAAACTGCAGTGTTGTTTAATTTGTTTTGAAAAAATGTTTACTTGTAAGTGGAGCATAATGATTATGCAGCTTCATTACGCTAAAAATCAGATTTTGATACCTGCAGTGTACAGAACACAGCCTATCGTGTATCCTTCCATTTAACAACAAACAAACTTATCAGGAGTTTCAGCGGGAAGTCTGAAGGCTTTTCACTCAAAACAATGAGTTTCCATAAATAGCCAAAAAGTACATTACACCAATCATACCACACTTAGTTCAACAATTCATGGGTACATCATTACTTAAAATTCACTGTGCAACTTAATATCCGGAGTGGTCTTGCTTCCATGAGGCACGAGATCGAAGAAATATTACTACATGCAAGTACTGATGTTTAAGTTATAACTGAAACTACGTTAAGTACAAATAATATATATTAAAATTTATTGGTTATAACCCAATAAGAAAAGGTAGAGTAAATTAAATAGGATCCAAATGTGGATATTGCTGTAGTTTATAAAACAACCCCATCTGTAACACAGATAGAGGTTGAAACTACTAATGAATGTATAACAATATATATCAAATAATAGTGGCATAACAATAGCAGGAATTTACTGTTCTCCAACCAAAATAATAGATATTAAACAACCTAAATCAACACAATAAACTTGTAATTTTTGGAGATCTCAATAGTAAACATAAAGGTTTTCAATGTAAGGAAACCACAACTAACGGAAGAAAATTGATGGAATTCCTAGAAAGTAGTGAATGTGTGCTGTTGAATGATACAACTCCAACACACACAAGCTTTTAGTACAACAGTAATGATACATTGGATCTGTGTATAAGTTCATCAAATATTAGTAACAAATGTTAAAATTTTAACGTTGAATTTGATGTTAATAGCGATCACTTACCAATAACATGTGTCTTTGATCTCGTACCCAATAATAATAACCCCATACGAAAACGTAAATTTAATTATAAAAAAGCAAAATGTGAATAATTTGCAAACTTCCTAGATCAGTTATTACCAGAAACAACAATAAATCCAGCAGAGAAACCATCTGCTTTTGACGATTACTGCAGAACAGACAATACCCAAACAAAATCAATACATTACTCAAAATATATGAAACCTCACACCGAAATTATGAACATGATAAAAGAACGCCGTCAACCGAGAAGTCCATACATCAAAACCCAAATAAACATTTTGGGAAACAAAAAACAAGATAACTGGGAAAATTTTTGTTCAAAGCTGAATGAACACACCTAGACCCTAAAACCTTTTATTCACATCTGAACTGAAACACTTGCAAATAACCAAAATAGTATAAAATATATCCAACCCTACATCATGAGAACAAAATAACATATACAAATGAACAAAAAGCTTAAGTATTTAAAGAACAATTGAGGAAACCTTTAAAACACACAATGAACAAAATTATCAAATATACCCGCTAAATTTCCCAGTAACTACAAGAAATCCACAAAATATAAACAATAATAATTATGCAAGTAAAATAACAAAAACAGTATTATTATATCTGTAAATCAAACCAAAAATAAAGCCCTAGGTGAAGATGGAATATAAGCCATTCTCCTAGAAAAAGGCACTCGGAGATTGTTTGACCATTTAACTGCGTTATATAATTTATTCCTCAATTCTGGTTACATCTCAGCCTCTTGGAAGAGACAAATGTTCTTATGTTTCTAGAGGAAGGCAAACCAGGAAGCTACCGACCAGTCAGTGACTAGTTGTGTAAGAAACATTTTAGAAAAAATTATTAGGAATAAGATTTCCACTTTCCTGGAGATCACATCAAAATTACCCGAAGTTCAAAATGGTTTTAGAAAATTTGGGCAAATAACTGATCATTTGGTTAGGTCTGAAACTATAATAGGTGGTCCTAATCATAAAAATGCCTGCTTTCTTGATATAGAGAAAGCATTCGACACTGTATGGCATAACGGTTTAAGATCTAAATTAAAACAATTTGAATTACCAACAGATGTTATTCGCTGGTTGTCTAACTCCTTAGAAAAGAGAAAATGCAGAGTAAATGTATAAGGCACCTACTCGGAGTATATTACTCCCGAGGCAGGTGTTCCACAGGGAGTGATAGTTATCCATGTCCTCTTCATCATATATGTAAGCAACATGCCATACAATTTTAGCTTAACATCTCAATTTGGAGACGATGTAGCAGTTTGGAATAGCTCTTCTACCCCTTCGATAGCAGCTACAAGTTTACAGCCTGTTCTAAATTAAATTGTTGAATACTTTCTAAAACATAAGATAACAATAAACGTTCCTAAATCAAATCTAGCTCTTTTTTCAAAATCGATCAAAACATTAAGAAATACTCCTGAATTATACTTATATGGAGCTCTTCTGGATTTTGTCCCATTGGCAAAATTTTTAGGTATAACATATGATTCAAAATTAACGTGGATTAAACATATTACCTAAATTAGGAATAAAGTATGGCAATGGGCAAACTACGTTAAGATG